TTTTTATCCTGGTAGCAGGTTGTCTAAGAAGTTAACAGGAAACGCCTTTAAATTTATTTTTCTTACAAGGATTTATAAATTACATCTCTCTGGAAGTTTTTATGGAAGACCTTTATAATAAAATCAACTACAAAATATTTGTTGTCGTTAATCTTCGTTTTAGAAATTTTCTTACAAGGATCGAATAGTTAACATTCCCAAATGCTTTACTGAAATCAGTATAAATTACATATGTATCTTTGGAAGTTTTTAGGGATGTCGGAAATACATATATCAAAATATCAATATATAGATATTTTTTCTCTTAAAGCCTAGTACTCTGACGAGAAAAATCCGCTGTATAAATTTAGACAGCGGCCAAACTCCATATAAAAAAAACGGTGTCGAAAAAAGAAGAAGAACTTTTAGCCACGTCTTTTTTTCCGGTACTCTGACGACGAAAATGAAGCCTCCGAAAATTGAATGGCGTTGCCAGATCAAGATAGTAAACAGCTGATATCGCGCTGTCTAAATAATTCATTTGATTTATTTAGACACCCGTAATGGAGGGAAAGTTGGAGGAAAAAGGTGGCATTGATAGGGGCTGTCAAGGGGAAGCCCATAATATGGAATTTAACCCACAAAGGACATTTTAATGCCATATTTATTAATATTTTTAATTTTTTTTTTTTTTGAATATTTGTTTACAAACAGCTGTCCAGTGTGAACAAAGAAAATAATTAAACGCCATAAAAAGTACATTTTCATGGCATTTCAGGATTTTCCTTAATTTGGTACAGAGTACTATGCTTAAAGTTAAATACATATAATACATAGAAGGGATAGAGTGGAAGAATCCGCATACACATGTATGTATGCAAGTTTGTGCGTGTTTTCCAGAACTTTTAAAATCAAAATGCGCAGGCATATAGACATACAGACATGCGTACAGCGTGTGCGTTCTTTTCCACATACACCGGGAAATTTCGCGGACAAGAATGCACTTGCTGTATGTATTTTATGCTGTATGAATATTTTAAAATAATTTGTTGCCAAATTTTCAGCAAAAGACCGAAAAATTACCGATTCATTGATCCATATGATCTGCAAAGATAATATGACAGACCAGCATGTAACCGAACGAGTTTTTCTTAAATCATTAAAAACAGATTTGTATTAAATAAAACCACTCAATGGTCTATACCATATTCTTCAAAATGTTGTTATTATTTTTCTATACCAAGGATCGTAAGTAAGAGTTGCTTGAGAACGGGTATAATATTTGTATTTTAAATTCGAGGATTTCTATTCACATTTTAAATTAAAAACAGTATATGTATTATGTCTCAAATGGCCCTTATTTGCTGTTAATGGTTGATAAAATCAAATATAACGATTTGTAGGCTCAAAATTTACCCAAATTTTCAGAAACAGGAAATCTTTATCCAAGTTTTGCTAAACATTAAAAGATATCGATATTTTTTATGATATTTTTAAATATTATCGAGTGATATTTTTATAACAGCAAATATCATCAATACGATATTTTCTTAAAACCAACAACCCTAGAAGTTTTATAGAACCCCCTTATAATGAAGGAAGTCAATTACAAAATATAAGTAGTTAATCTTTTATAAATCCATGTTTGTTTTACACAGTTTTGGGTTTTAGAGATTTCCTCTTGTTAGCATCCGATCAGTTTTGTTGGGAGGAATAAAGCATGATTCCTTCCAGGTAAGGGGGAAAAGGGAATTGCATAAATCGTCGGCACAATACCTAAGCGCACAGGACTCAGGTGCACCTGGCAATTTAACTGGCACGATGTAGATCTTAAGGAATAGAGATTTTGTCCTAGGACTACATTTTGTTTTTATTGGAACATGACGTAAAAATAAGTCTAATTTGAATCTGTTGAATTTGAACACATTCGGTGAAAAATTAATTCATGGCATTTTAAAAAACGATATCAGCCTTATCAGTGCATATGAAAATCGGACCAATTAAATTAGGATATAAAATTATTTAGCCATTCATTGTCAGTCTTGCGAAAACCGATGACTTTTTTGGCTGGTTGGTCAAATATATTCTATAAAGCAGTCCCAATGAGATAGCATTTCGTCATTTTCGTCTTTGGTTTTACACAAGTGCGATCAAGATGACTGTTTATGGGGAAGACAACGATTATGCCACGCTTTGGTTTATATTTAAAACGCAAGAATAGTTTAGTTAATATAAGCCGTGTTTTATTTCTGTGTTAATTTATTCGGAGCTGCAGACTGCACTATATGAAAGCTTCGCTTTAAAATATATACATACATACGTTTATGGTTTTACAAATGTAGTTTGGTTGAATAGATAACGTAGCTTTAGCGAGATAAGAAAGATCCAAAAAGAGAAACCTTAAGAGCGGGAAGGTGCAGTGGTACACCTATGCACGCATGAATAGGAGGCGCTGGCGGTCTGCTCCGAACAATGACTATATGCATTAGAATAATGCATCAGCTACTTCATTGCCGCGAAAACCGATAGATCTACATAACAGGTTGGCTGATAAGTCCCCGGTCTGACACATAGATGACGTCGCTAGTATTGAATGCATATTATTTTTATATAGTACTAACCTTTAAATGATTCGTCTCAAAATTTGACGTCTGTCAGTCAATTAGTTTGTGAGATAGAGCGTCTTTTGTGAAGCAACTTTTGTTATTGTGAAAAAATTTGAAAAAAAGGAATTTCGTGTTTTGATAAAATACTGTTTTCTGAAGGGAAAAAATACAGTGGAAGCGAAAACTTGGCTTGATAATAAGTTTCCGGAGTCTGCCGTAGGGAAATCAACAATAATTGATTGGTATGCAAAATTCAATCGTGGTGAAATGAGCACGGAGGACGGTGAACGCAGTGGACGCCCGAAAGAGGTGGTTACCGTCGAAAACATCAAAAAAATCCACAAAATGATTTTGAATGACCGTAAAATAAAGTTGATCGAGATAGCATAGGCCTTAAAGTATCAAAGGAACGTGTTGGTCATATCATTCATCAACATTTGGATATGCGGAAGCTCTGTGCAAAATGGGTGCCGCGCGAGCTCACATTTGACCAAAAACAACCGTGCCACAAGTCATTGAGAACGATGGCAAAAATTCATGAATTGGGCTTCGAATTGCTTCCACACCCACCGTATTCTCCAGATCTGGCCCCCAGCGACTTTTTCTTTTTCTCAGACCTCAAAAGGATGCCCGCAGGGAAAAAATTTGGCTGCAATGAAGAGGTGATCGCCGAAACTGAGGCCTATTTTGAGGCAAAACCGAAGGAGTACTACCAAAATGGTATCAAAAAATTGGAAGGTCTTTATAATCGTTGTATCGCTCTTGAAGGGAACTATGTTAAATAATAATAACGAATTTTGACAAAAAAATGTGTTTTTCTTTGTTAGACCGGGGACTTATCAGCCAACCTGTTAAAATATAGTAGACTAGAGGAACCGGCGAACTTTTTCTCGCCCCAATTTCACAACTTCATATAACCCCAGAGTAATAATAGAACACTGGTAATTTAAATTTGTTGTGAAATTTTTTTGACTTGAAATCAGTGGAGAGCGATCTGATAAACTATATTTTTTGTTTTGTTATCCGGTGCAAAAATAAATAATGATGACGGCTTCCCACACGCGAACAGGCTACGTATAGCTGGCCATTTGAAAAACATTTATATTCCAGATTTATCCCGCAGACTTCCAACGATTGGCCTTGCGATTTATTGATTGTCATGGTAAATGCCAATCGAACTGGGAACTGAATCCTCTTGAATTGGTTGGAAGATCTGTTGGAATAATCGGAATTCGTGGGATAAGAACTTCCTCTCCTTTAAATTTTCCCTTAATGATCGTCGCTTCATTAGTTTCTTAACGGACAACCGCGTACCGTTGCATAATCTCGGATGATTTAGATTCCGCAGCATTATAATAATTGATCCCACCTTCAGTTGCAAATTATGCGGCGGATTTCCTAACACATTCAGTGAGTTCAAAAATTCTGTCGGATAGTTGGTCGCTTCATCCTCGCCGGTCACGCTGTCAACGGATCTGTATGAATGCAGTTCTCCAGCGATTTGACTTTGAATAAGGAAATTCAAACTATCTACGTCCTTATTCTTCGCTGCTAGTATTGCCCGTTTACTAATCCAATCGAGATTTTATAATTTTGTGAACTCGCAAAAATTTGCTGGGAACGATATTAGTCCAGTCGAAACATCAACAGGAATTTCACCATTGCCGAGCGCCAGCAGTTGTCTCGAGAATTCAGCAGCGGATGGGTCATTCTGCACAGCGACTCTCATGTTCGTGGTCAATTTAAACTTCTTGACATATCGCCACAAAGAGAACGATTTTAGGCATGCATTAACTTCATCGGCAGCCGTAGATTTCGGTATGACGGGAAGCGTTTTACGAAAATCTCCGGACAGTAATATCAAAGCCCCACCAAATAGTTTCGAATCACCTCGTAAATCCTTCATCGTTCGGTCAACTGCCTGCATAGCTCGTTTATGCGCCATCGTGCATTCATCCCAAATGATGAATTTGCATTCTCGTATCAATTTTGCTGTCGCTGAATTCTTGCAAAATGCTTATATCTACACGATCGTTGGTATTAGAGCTAAATGGTTTAGTTGTTCGGTTTAAACTAGGGGTTTTCATATATATATTTCATATATGTACATATATGTATAAAGTAATATTAACAAGAAAGGAAGCTAACTTCGGCACGCCTAAGTTTGTATACCCTTGCAGTTTGCAATTGGATCATTAAGAATCATGTCTTTCTAGTTAAATTATTCGAAAAAAAAAATGAAAGGATATATATAAAAGTTGAATATTTATGCATAGCATATATTGTATCATGCTGTGGGACTAGTTTGTATAGAAACGAACCAACGGACGGACAGACAGACGGAAATGTCTATATATAAAAATATAATATTTAAATAAAGCTTAATAGTAAGAAAAACTCAGGCGTATACTTTACCTCTTGTGTCACAATAAATCCAGCAGTCAACGGAGAAATAAAAGACGCTGACATATGTATTGTTTGGCAAAAAGCTAGAACTGCAGCTGAATGTCCATAGTTTGGCGCTATATCAATTATATTAGCCATTGCTCCTGCATAGGATGCTGTTATAAATATAACCGCTATAAACCATACTGTTAACAATATGTGTACATTATCTATATGGCCGATGCAATATATTAATATTCCTGGAATAATTTGAGAAAGGGCTGTAAATACTTTTCTTACATTAGTAAGTCTTAAAACTTTGTATAATAACAATTTATCAGCAACATAACAGAAAAAAACCGATGAAATATAAGAGCCAATAAAAGGCATGCCGGAAAGAAATCCATTTGTCTCAAAATTAAACTTTAAAACGTTTCCCATAAATGTAGGCCCATTTACAATAAAAATATAATGAATAAATATTCGCCCGAATGTTGTAATAGCAATCGCCCAAGCTGGTAAGGAACGAAAAATCTGCAACCAAGGAACTTTTACTCGATTAAATTTTTTTACTTCATTGCTTACATTAAGCTCTATGTAATTCAACTCTTTTTTAGTTATACGTGGATGTTCACGAGGTGTATTGTATGCCAGAAAATACCATAATAAACACCACCCAATACCTAAAGTACCAGTTGTATAAAAAATATAGGGCCATCCGAATTCCGATAAAATAAATCCACACAACGGGTAGGTTAGACCAATACCTATACTAAAACCTTGAAAACTTGACATAAACCGTGATCGTTCTGTTAGCGGGATCCAATAGCCAACTATTGCATACATTGCAGGCCAAGTCAAGCCAGAGGCAAATCCCTGAATGGATCTAAGTACAATAACAGCTATGTAATGTAATTGTGCTGCTAACGGCATCAGAACACTACATAAAGCTGTTGCTAGCTGTGACCATCCAAATACGCACTTAGTTCCAAACATTTCTGTGGCCACTCCACCAGCCACCTGGGATAATACGTAACACCAATAGAAAGAGCTGATAATGACAGATTTGACTATAGATGTTTGGTCTTCAGTACCTCCAACCTAAAACATTTGAATATATAAATGTGAAAAATTTTATTAAAATTAAAATTTTTATTATAATATTACCAAAACTGGTTGCGGTCCGATTATAGACTGGTTGTGTGTTGAATTATCATTCGAAATCATTGCGACCAACGCAAAGTTCATATCATTTCGCATCATAAAAGAGACCAGAAAGCCAGACCACGACAAAAAATATAGCACTAAGCGAGCCGGAATTTTATCTGTAATTATATAATACAAAATTAATGTATTAAAATATAAGAAAATATTCTCTGTTGTATGGATATACTTCTAAACAAGAAAAAAGGCAAAACAAGAATCCGTTGATTAAGGGAAGACAATACTAAGGAAAACACTACAGCTTGAATTTCCCTTGACTTGTACCTCTGCTATAATACCGCCCAAAATGTGTTTTTAAAGCAGTAGCTTTATATTTCTAGATAGTCTTATTTTTTTATTTATTTTTATGTAATTTATTATTAAGAAATAGCAAATATCTGTCATTATAAAACTTTATCCTTACCTCTGACCGGATAAGAAGTGTTTTTTAATGATATGCTGCGACTCACATCAGGTGGCCAGAGGCAAGGATACGTGTCTTAAGATATTGTTTTCATTAAAATCTAAGGACATTTCAAAATACAACAAAATTACAGGTCGTTGTAGAGCGAACATAAAACCCAAATGACAAAATAATTTCAACAGTAACTGATGAATCACCAAATCAAGGCTTTGCTGAAATTAGTTATTTTTAAACGCAACTAACTTGAGGAGATTTATAGACGTTGACCTGCGTTTTCGAATAACTTGGGAATCGCACTAAGTTTTGCTATACCCCTATAGTTCAATATTAGATTTACTGCCCCTTTTGTGACGGGGAATAATAAAAGATTTTTTCCAAACTTCGGGGAAAAACGAATGCTGAAGTGATAACTAGTCTAGACAGTGGTCTACATAATGCGCTAGCACAATTTCTCAGAACACAGCTAGGTACCAAATCTGGACCAGAGGAGAAGGAAAGTTTGATTGTTCTGAGATTATAAAAAACATCATCTTCGCTGATTATAGGCGTATTAATGCAATTGGAGTGCGGAAGTGGAAAAGAATACTCTGAGCTAGTATAGAAATTAATTTTTTGGTAGTCCGGAAAAATTGTGCGAACAGGTTCATTGTGTAAAAAACTGAGTACATTATGACATAGAAACGCTTAACGATTAATGAGGGATCCTCTGTGGAGTTCAAGAAGGTCCAATCAGTTAAGTATAAGTGGTGGTTTATTTCTGTAAAATTAGCTTGGCAAACTCAGAGACAAAGATGAGGTCTAAGACATTATTATTACAGTTTCTAACGATATTTTATTGTCCCAATGAGATAATAAGACCATGAACTAAATCGTGGCATGAGGTTGGAAGAAGAACATTAGAATCAGGTAATGGAATCCAAGAAATAGAGGGCAGATTGAAATCACCCATGACAATAAGGTGGTCATTAACACCAAGGGAAGAATGAATTTCTTGAATTAAAGATAAATGCTGCAGATATATATCAGTGTCGGACCTGGGTGATATATACAAGCATGAAACATAGATATAATAATCGTGAACCTGTATAGGAACTCTAAAGTACAATCAGTGTCTATTTTAGAAATCGGAGAAGTTTGGATTTAACTGCAATGAGAATACCACCGCCAGTCCGCATTGGTCGATCACGTCTATAAAGAGTATAGTTCCCTGAAAAAATTTCACAGTCAGACACAGAGGAGGTGAGCCATGTTTCTGTAAAAACAATTACATTGGCATCGAAGGAGACACTATGGACGTGCAGTCTACTGAGTTTTACAAGTAAACTACGAACATTCTGATTGTTTTTTGTTTACGAGTTCGTGAACAATTGAAACAATCGGTACTAGAAACATTCAATTTGTTGCTCAAATGGGTTTTTACATCACTTTCGGAAGGACCTGAAATGAGGCGGGAAACAAAACTTAGCTTTTTAAGAGCAACAGTTTGCTAAACCTTCTGGAAACGATTTGACAAATCCTTGAAGCCTGCAGCCAACGACTGAAACTCCAGGTGAGTTTGCCTCCCAAAAACTTGTAGCACAGTTGCTGACTTGGTCGCCACTGAAGTTAAGGAGCTAAGCTATGACAAAAGCGGTCAGGCGAAAGGTATCCGGGCTATGATACCACAAATACAAGCATCATGGTGTCACCTATAGAATAAATAGAGTCTGGAACGAGATCAACGGAAGCACGCAGAAAAATACGCTAAAAAAATGTAAGGTAACCAAATAGCCATTTACCATTCATAAGCGGTTAAAGCTGGGGCTGATCCTAAATAAAATCTACTCCAGTGGCTCTTGTGACACCCCACTCACGTTCTTCTTCGGGGCACGACCATAAAAAATATAGAAATGGAATACGATTAAATAAATTAATTGATTGCTTGCCTGCATACTAAGTGGGTTAGGATTAAATTGTTTTGTTTATGAAAGCTATTTACGTTTAAGGTTACTGTGTTCAAATAGGTATATTCATAGAATGTTCTACAGTGGCGCAACACTAAAGGTTTATAGGGTACGTGAAAACTGACCACAGTTTAATGGTTAGCGAGGGAAGGTATGTTAATTATGAGAAGTTTACTAAAATAGAATTAAAACACATGGTTTATATCCCAGTTTAATAGGTCAAGCGTGTTAAGCGACCCGTGGCCTCTGACTATAAGGTTCTCACCTCTGAGGGGAATTTTGGCCGGTGCCACGGGAGCATTATAATCATCGGCAGAGCTGAATGTTAAAGCGCGGTATGACTAGAGGCAAAACACGTACTACATTATACTTACCCTACAAGAGAAGAATGTACGAGACGGAGTGTACCCCAGCCAGATGACATAGATGGCTCAAGGAAAAGCTGCACACTAGTGGCCAAATGCAAAGAGGCACTAAATAAACTCGGAGAAGACAACAGGGTACAAATAGCTTGCGTACCCGGACACAACAACATCCCCGGAAATCAGAAAGCTGACAAGTTGGTCAGGAAAAGGTCAGAGAAAAAGTCAATCAAAACAGACATAAAAGGTTCGCTGCACTCAGTCTAGTCGTGATCTCAAGGCCATTTCAAACGAATAGCCGGCGAGGAACTTAGTCCTTAAACACCGTAGCATCAATTGTACTGCCCGGCACTCAATTAACTTAGGGCGCGCCATTTGGAGTTCACCAGGTCGACTCAATAGGGGAAATGAAAAGATAGCCAATGACTGCCACTAAAGAAGCGACGCTGACTACAAACCAACAAGGGAGTGGAAGAAAACAGAGCTCAGCCCTGGTTACCTGAGTAATGTCAACACTGCATACATATATACCACAAGCCTACATACCTACCTAAAACCTGACTGCCAAGCAAGGTCTTTAAATTGCACGCAAAGCTTGTCGTCGCCCGCGTACCTTGAAGTTTGGCAGCCATTTGGGCAGCTCGTTAATAATAATGTAAACAATAAGGGACCCAAATGAAGACCTTGTGGGATGCCACAGTAACCCGAAAAACATAAGTTAAAAATATTAACCAAAAACTCCACTAAATTAAATATCTTACCAAACAGTAAATGGTTAAGAGGGTCAAAGCAAAGGCAATACAATTCTAAAAGATGCGTAACGCGATACGATTTTTTTTGCATAAGATTTGGCTTTTGAACTGGCTTCAGGCTCTCTTAAATTTTGTTCAAAAGCCAGCATAGAGAGCGCTCTAGAGCCAGCCGCTGTCTTGTACGCATTAAGTGACGCCGCCGAGTGTTAGTATGCAAACGGGACCCAAGAAGGCCAATTTCGCTATTAAATTTATTTTTGATTTTAACATTTATTTTATTTTATATACTTATCTATTATATAAAAATAAGTCGAGTTTTCTGCCGGGATCCTATAACTCCAGAACGCACGAACCGATTTTGCATTCGTTGGTAAGGTCTCGAAATTTGTGATTTTTGCAGTAAAGAAAATTTAAGAAAAATTGCAACAGAAAAGCGGGAAAGTCATTTTTGCATAAAGCGCCAACACTGACACATAGCATGCAATAATTCTCTACTCAGTTTATTTTATGACAAACCGAAATTGTGTTCAATTTTGAGAAAAATAAGTTATTCGTTTCATATTAGTGCAATTGGAAACCAGCATTTGTATTTAGGGTGGTAAGAGGAATTGTGTAATTATGTGTGAACATCGGTCTCCGCACAAGGCATGCATGCCAGCAACAAGTGTGTTCACAGAACTTAAGCGAGGAGAGACGAAATGTAGTAAGGGAAAATGCCCGATTGAGACAACGCGTAGGCACACGGAGATCAACTGGTGTGCAGCATCTAAGAGGATCCCAACCAGCGTGGCAGGTTCCTAACAGCAGCCTCCCCCGACATAGCCATCGACCTCAGGACAAATTTCAAGAATCCTGAGATAGAGTGCTAGAAAAGATTCGTTGTCCGAAGGTGTCGCGGGTGAGACCGTGCCCCCGGTGTTGCCCAGATCCGTTTTGTCCACTGGAGGGTCCCAACAATTGTCCTCTCAGAGCGCCAGTTCCCTACCAGGGTGTCAGGCCCGGACTACCGGCCGAAATTGGTAAGGCGGATAATCAGCCTGCCTTGAAAAAAACCCCTTATGGCAATACCACCAACGAGACAGTTTCATCTTTCAAAATAAATGTTCCTGAGGAATTCTTTGAGAAACTATGCTCTGTCCAAATCTGAACAAAGCATGTGATTGTCAAGGAATTCGAAGCAAAGAAAGAGAAAAAAAGGACAGTTGGAATTACTCTTCCTAGGCCCGATTTGACCAATGCGCCTTCTACGTCTTCCAATTCCGTCCAAAAAAACTAACAAACTTCCTTGGTATCTCCTATCAAAATGCTAGACTTTCGCAGTAAGCTTCCTAAATTGTACTATAATAGTGTCACATTTGCTTCCCAAGTGTTGTGTTTACAGAAACCTGGTTAAAGCCGGAGATTCTGAGCTCCGAAGTTTTTCAAGCTGTGTTCACAGTATAGCGGCTAGATCGGACTATCAGACATGTTCCTACATTCCTCCATTGTCGGAACTTCCTATTTATTGAAACCATATTTCCGCTATTCAGTTGGTCTCTAAAATAATTTCTGATAGGGACCACTTAATTAGTAGTACTTGGTGATTTTAACATCCCAGGGGCTATTTGGTCCCTAGATAATTCCATTAACCACAACACATCA